TCAGCTTGTTTTTGTCAAGGTTTAGACCTAATGAGCAGATATTTGGGCTGCTACTACAATAGTTTCACTGTATTGTACATAGATTGTATTGTACATACATTCACTGTTTTTTCGTTGTGTGTTCGAACTGTGAGATATGAAACCCGATGGAAAGGAACCTGAGAGGAGGGTGTCATTAGAAAGTGGCCGAACACACTGACACACTTCCCTTTACTTTCATCTCCGAGGCAGAGGAGAAAACTGAAGAATCCCAGTCCCATTCCGACGGGTCGAAGACCCCGTCTATCGTCTTTAAAATATCCGAAATTGTTTTTATTTTATATACTATCCATTAGGACCACCCACATTAGTCTTCCTACCGACTTATTACAATTGGCATAACCAGCTTTTTTCCAAACTTTTACATTGGACTCTCTAATCTGAGACTTTAGCTAGTAACTAGATAACACTTTTATAGATTTTGTATGTCACTGTTTTTTTTTAATTATAAGAGCTTTTTTGTAAATTATAAGTACAGGCGGGACTTTAGGACGTCCATAGCTCTTTTTAGATAAAGATATATCTGAGAATGAACTGTTCTATAAAGAAAAATATTCCAAATCTTTACTCTTAAATAGTCTATCCCAAGCAATGCAAGATAAATTTTTAACTGAAGGCATCATAAATGACATTTTTTTAAAATCATGCTATGATGATTATATTATTTATCAATTGGCAACAGCACATCTTCAGCTATGCTAGTTGGAAATTCATTTTATGCGGAAAGTATTAGGTCAAGAGAATTTTTTTTTTTCGTAATTGCCTTGGAACATATTTAAATAACTGGAATTAAATAATTGTTAAGTAGGTTGTAATCATATTAATACATCATTCAACTAATGTGTGTAAATTAAAAAATTCGTTTGGGGCGTCGGTGGCCGCAACGGTTTAGGCGTTGACCCGGCGCTCGTCACTGTAAGGTAAAGGTCCCTGGTTCGAATCCAGCGGCCCTGCATTATACAACATTCATCATACAACATACAAATTGGAAACGTACTTACAAATGGTTTTTTTTTTTTTCAAAAACACCGTCACCCTGAGGGTTTATATGACCTCTGCTGTTGCGAACCCCTCGTAAAAAAATCGTTTAAAAAATCCTCAACTGTTTTTATTATCGTAATTTTTTTTCTTTTTTACTTACTTGTTTGTTAACAAATAAAAAATTATATTATAAGTACATATTTTATTTCACATATAAATCCTAGTCATGACATTCTGGTAACATAAAGATATGCAGTTCAATTTTATACGAGAAAATACTTTCAGGAGAACGATTTTTTTTCTTTCAAAATCAAAATTGAAAACTTCATCACCTGCTGAGAAAATAAAATAACAACAGCCAGGCCCTGAAAAAATTTTCCTATCTACTCTTTCTTCCAAAACAACCAGACGATTGCTAAGGTTTCTAAAATTCTTGGGCGCTCGTCACTGTAAGGTAAAGGTCCCGGGTTCGAATCCAGCGGCCCTTCATTGGAAACGTACGTACAAATGGGCTTTTTCCCAAAAACACCGGCACCCCGAGGGTTGACCTCGTAGTTAATTTACCCTCGTAAAAAAATTAAATACTGATCATGGCAATTTCGTTTGTTTCGTTTATATATTGCGGTTCTTTTCCACAAATTTTCAACATTCTTTGTCACTTCCTGTATATTCTTTTATACATTTTTGTCGTTTAATTAAATTTTTATCATTTGATTTATTATTAATTGCTATTGCGCATCCTAGTTAATAAAATAATAATAATAATTCTAGAATTTTTCTAGGAAAAAGAACAAAAATAACATCAAATTATATATATAATGAAATAAGTTAAAGTTTGAAGTCTTCTTACAAAATAATCTTGGTACTTAAGTTTCTTCATTATCCCAGAAAGTTTTTTGGCACAATCAATTTTTTTTGTCGTGGAATCCAGTCTCATTTCTCTGTTTTAAGTATAGCAAACATTTTGTTAGTAACAATTTCTTTGATTTAATTTTGATCCGAGGGAATTCGGTTTGGTCCAAAGGTGGCAGTACAAGGACGGACGGTGAGCCCGTGACAAGTTGGCCATTTTATGAAGCCCATTAAAAACCGACAGGCGTGATAAATTCGCCTGTAGAAAATTCGTCCTCGGCCCTCTTTTCTCGAAAAGGGGCGCATGTGTGAATAAAAAAAAGAAATTAAGACTCATTGCGTGAAGTCAAATTTATGACTTCCTACGAAAAACAAATTGGATAAATTAACGTCAGCCAATCCGAGAAAACCTCCAAGATCGCAAAGTATTAGTATAGAAAGCAAAATTACATAATTAAAACTATTATAGAAAAAGGGGTGAACGAGAGAAAGGGAGAAAATTGATTATAAGAGATTTAGGATTGGTCATACACGTTTATCAAACAACGTTTTGAAACTTGATAGTCCTGGTCTTATTCGGCTTCCAAATCTGGATTAATTTTGTCTATCGATTTTCTTCAGTTCGTCAGAAGCATAACATTTCAGTTTGCCTCGTAATAAAAACAAAGATAAATGAATCCATGGGGTTTAGGATAGGTCACACACTGCTTTTATCACATTGCCTTATGCATTCTACCATATTTGGATCTTTTCGAATCCATTTTCAATTTCCTTACTGGTACGAAAGAAACAAAATTAAAAATACGTTTCAATCGGCGACTGGAAACAGAAAAGAGGTTTAGAATAGGCCGCACACGACTGTCATACCCCGCCTCTAGGGTTTTACGATCAGAAAAACCTCTTTGAAGAAAAAAAGCTTTGTAAATTTTTTCAATAGTCTATTCAAGTTTTTTCAGGACAAAATGTACTTAGATTTCAATCAGTCTTGAATAAGACATGGGTTTATTCGTGTTCTTTTGATAAATAGAGAAGAATGCAAGAAATGGTAAAAGAAAACCAGAAAAAAAAGAATGGCCAAAAAGGTCAAACAGAGATGAAGAGGAGTGGGATAAATAACTGACAAAAATAAGAGAAAAGTAAGATAGAGAAATAAGTAAACAGACAAACAGAAACAGAGAAGAAGGGAGAGAGAGAGAAAAAGAATGAGAAAAAGTGAGAGAGATTCTGACAATATAAAGAAGGAAAAAAGTAAGACAGAGAAAACAATTCAGAAAGAAACAGACAAAGGCAGGGAGAGAGAAAGAGTGGGAGATATATGGAAGAGAGATAGAGAGAGAAAGGAAGAAAAAAGAGACCAAAGGTAGAAAAAAGAAGGACAAACATTAACAGACAGAGAAAGAGAGATACATAGAGTGAGAGAAAATAAAAAGCAGAAAGAAGACAAACAAAGTTACAAATGAGACAGGCCAAGAAAGATAAAAATGAGAGCAGAGGGACAGTCAGAAACTGGAATAGAAAAAATGGACAGATAGAGAAAAAAGAGATTATGACAGGAGGAGAGGGAATGGAAGGAAGAACGAGAACAAAAAATGAAGGACAAACAGTAAGAGAGAGAAAGAAATAAAGTGACAGAAACAGGACAAACAGAGAGGGAAAATGAGACAGAGTTAGAAAGAATAAGAGAAGCAGTCAGGGAGAGATAGATAGATAGTTAGAGAGAGAGTGAGAGAGAAAGTCAAAAGCAGAAAGAGGACAAACAGAGAGTAAAAACGAGACAGGCAAAGAAAGAGAGGAAAGAGAACAGAGAGACAGTCAGAAACTGAAATAGAAAAAAATTGGACAGATAGAGAAAAAAAGAGATTATGAAAGAAGGAGAGGGAAAGAAAGAAAGAAAGAGAACAAAAATAAAAGGTCATTCAGTAAGAGAGAGAAATAAATAAAGAGACAGAAACAGACAAACGGAGAGAGAGAAGCAGTCAGGGAGAGAAAGATAAATATAGAGAAAAAATGTGTGTGTGTGAGAGATAAAAAGTCAAAATCAGAAAGAAGACAAACAGAGAGTAAAAACGAGACAGGCAAAGAAAGAGAGGAAAGAGAGCAGAGAGACAGTCAGAAACTTAAATTTAAAAAAAGTTGGACTGATAGAGAAAAAACAGAGATTAAGACAGAAGTAGAGGGAAAGAAAGAAAGAGAACAAAAATAAAAGAAGGAGAAACAGTAAGAGAGAGAAAGAAATAAAGAGACAAACAGGGCAAACAGATAGGGAAAATGAGAGAGAGTTAGAAAGAATAAGAGAGGCAGTCAGGGTGAGAGATAGAGAGAGAGAGAGAGAGAGAGAGAGAGAGAGAGAGACTGTGTAAGAGAAAGAAAAAGAAAATATTTTTTCTTAGGTTTTGTATAGGACATACCGTGTGTTCTGTAGCTCAGTGAATGTTACACAATTGCTGATAGTTTTCTCTCACTGATAGGCCATACACGTGTGACGGACTATGTTTACTTTATTCAAATCCGCCGGGAAAAACGATCCAGTGTATTATGTGTGTACATGTTTTATTATTAAATATATCTTTCAGAAAACTTTCAAATTGTTCCAACGCCCCCAATTCGCGTCTGCATTAGAAAAGAAAATCCAAGGCAAAGGTGATCTTTTATTTCAAGGTTTTGGGTAGAATTAGAATAGATTCCCCGCCTTGTGATAATAGCATCCGGAAGAGAGAAAAAAAACAATAACACTCTCACTGGTTGTTGTTATTTAAAATGCAATTATTTTATTATTTATTATATTATGAACAGATATTATCTTTATTACGATAAATTCAAAAAAAAAAATATATATATATATATATTTTTTTTTTTTGGGCTGGGTTACTTTCTGGTCAGGCCACAACACTGTCGCGAGTCTTAACCAACCAGGATCGAACATGAAAACGGTCAATTTTTAATTTTTTTTAAATTGGAAAATCACTTAGGGAATTTTTTCTTGGAGGCAAGGTAGAAAATTGAAGAACGTAAACAGTATTAGTTTTAGCACCTCTGCGTTTGTAGTAATCCCTGACCCTGGGTCATTAGTCGATTAATAAATCAACAACCGTCCATTGTTTCTTTATTCAAATATAAATTTCATTTACCTTGAGCTTTTCGTAAGTGGTCGTCAGTTCCAAGTGGTGAACGAACGGGTTCACCATGTCCGACGTCTTGAGCAGGTCTTCGGTCACACACTTGCCCTTCATCGTTTTCATTTTTGTTTAACAATTATTATTTTATTCAGTTTTACGTAAAATATTATCGGTGCGATGACAAGAACGGTACGAACGGTTTTCGTCCTGGCGAGGGACTGAGTCTATCCGGCTGGCCCATTCACTCATCATCCCCCACCTTTCACCGTCCCGCACTCTCTCTTTCTTCCCCCTTTTCGCTTTTTAGGAAAATATAGTTTTTCCGATCTTTCGGATCCGTACGAATGAAAACGACCACTGTATAAAAGTATGTCAATAAACAATCTCTAGGTGTTTTTTTCAGTCACCTAGTGTGCTAACTCTTAACTACTCACCTATCCTACACCTTATAGGTATTTTCTCTTTTCGAAAACATAATTTGTTGGCAATTTCCTTCAAATTGATAGACTGTCAATTTTCGACTGGTCCAATTAATGTCACTTTCGGTAACCTGCCCCACTACATCAATGAAAACCGCACTCGACTTACCACCCTTACTTATGTGCAAGAGGTGGCTTCTGAGTGGGCCAACAGACTCCAGAGACCCAAGAAATTTTTTTTTAATTTATTTGTTACCTATACAGGATAGTATACTATACAAATATGTACACATGATTAATATATCACTCAGCACAGCACTAGCACTAATCCCAGCACTGCGCCGGTAGATCACATGCTTTGAGGAGCCAGCCATTGCTGGCACTTGGTGTGTATGATTAAGGGTCAAGGAGGTCCCGAGGACTTCGTCGGTTGAGGCGACGTGGACTGTTATCAGGATGGGAATGAGTGGATAGAACTCGAGCAGTATGGTTAGGATGGTTCGAAAGGCTGGTGTGGAAAGTTTGCAATCTGGACCGGATTATTTCGTCGACAAAAGGATGTTGAGGTCTTTGTGGATAGTGAGGGTAGTGACATAGTAAGGTGCTTTGAAAAATTGTCTAAAGACTTTCGATTGGAATGACTGGATGCGCTGTATATTGGAAGGCTTGGCAGTGCCCCAGTTCCACTCCGCATGTCCATATTGGTCTCAGTAAAGTCTTGTACAGTGTTAGCTTTGTCTTAATTGTCAAAGTCCATTTCGGTCGTAAAAGTCTTCGTAGTAGTCCAAGTCTTGTATTAAGTTGCTGTTTTTTAAGTCTTGTGCGGGGATTCCACGTCAGTCTGCTGTCGAGATATAGTCGCAACTTGAGTGGAAACTGGTATCTCTTTGTTGTTGATGTACAATGGAGGGCAAGACGGCTTTTTCAGCGTAAAAGTACACTGAGTGCCTTTTTCTTCGTTCAGTCTTGTCCTCCATTTTCTACACCAGTCTTCGATAAGCTCAAAGTGTTCCTGGATGTTGGAGGTAACTTGGAAAGGATTCGAGTTAGAGAATAGGATTGCGGTGTCGTCCGCGTAGGTGGTGATAATAGTGTCAGGATGTATTGGTAGGTCAGCAGTATAATTGATATATAACACAGGACCAAGGATACTACCTTGCCGTACACCGGCCTGTGATTGACTTCCGAGAATTCATTGCCGCACCTCACTTTGAACAACGATCAGTTCGGTAGGATTTCAATAAAAGGTAATAATGAGAGGGTAGGAAGACATAAGTTTAAAACGTATGCCTCGATGCCAGACCATGTCGAAAGCCTGTGCTACGTCTAAGAACGCGCCCAGGCAATACGCCCCCAAGAAAAATAAGCCAAATTTAATGAGGAATTAAAACGGTACCTGACAAAATGAGAGAAAAGCTCAGACCCTTCCGAGTGGTCATAGATAAAAGAGGTCTTTGGAAGAAAGGTAGCCAGAGGTTTCAGGAATTAGCCATAATATGGTAGACAGATGGTAAAAGGCAGAAATATACACTTCATTTAGACTAATCCTAACAATTTTCCAAGCTGAGGTCCATACAATAAAACTGCACAGGAGTCAATAAATAAAATGACAGATGCACTCTGAGGCAGTCAGGTAGTTAAGGCACTAAATGCGTACGCTTTCAACTCCAGTCTTGTCTGTTAATGCCTAAATTGCTTAACAGGAAAACACATGGTTATTAACAAATTAGCAGAAATTAGCAGGCTGACCAACTAGCCAAAAAAGTGGTAGCCCTCTCACCCATGGGACCAGAACCACAATAGGTGCCCCGGAGTGTGTGGTTAAGTTTGAACTGTAAAAATGGCTTGACAAAGAAAACCAGGACCAAGGTACAAGGATAAGGCACTTATAAATCTCTTAAAAAGAAAGCGAAGGAACTCTCAGCAAGCAAGATTGCAAGAAAAATTATAGACCTAGTCACTGCCCTCTTAACTATCACCTAAAGAAGACGTGCAAAGCAGAGAGAAAAACATGCCGACTGTGTCAGCAGGGACCAGAGGCAACGGCACATATATGCATGTGAAGCGTAAGCCCGTTTAGGTAACAGCTGCTTCTGTAAAGCAATTTTCTTACCAAACGCGAAGAGGTACTGAGGAAAGTACTTAGTCTTATAAGAAAAAATGCATTTTCCAAGATTAGGTTATAATTTGTAGGGGTTCTACAATAGATTTATATAAGTCGCAGTAGCACCACAAAATAAATTGTTCTCACAGTGGCCTGGTTATCGTCGTGTTTTTTATTTTAATCTACAAGCAGCAATGAGAAATAGCCAAATCGACAACTCACCATCTTTGCTGTTATTCCATAGCATATTTTTCAAAAAAGACTTAATTAAACTCTTAAAACATTTATCTGCAAGTTTAAACCGTCCATGACACCAGACCGACAATGAAAACGCGATTGACTCATAAATTCATAACACTTTTCAGCATTACCAAACTCATTAATTTTTTATATTCTCACGATTATAATACAATGAGGAATGATCATGTCTTAGCAAATATTTTAACAGGAGCAAAACAACGTGTTTCCAGTGTATGATCCTTTAAATCTTACAACCAAGTTCATATGTCTATTGTTCTGTTTTTCCTTATTCAGGGCAATTCGTTTTTCACTAATTTTAACATTTAGTGGGGGAGTAATAAGATCAAATCTTGTGTCTGTAATGTATTAGGGTGACATCAACGACCTCCGTCCTGTTACGTGTTACTTCAAAATCCTTACTTTAGTCGGAATTTAATTCTTAGGTATATAATTGTCCGTTCTTCATCTTGACGCTGTTCCGCGCCGTCCAGAGACGATTGAACTGCCAGTTGGTTCAGTATTTTCTCAGCAGACAGCCTCTCGTCCGCATTTAGACCGTACGTGCGATAGACCTCGGAGTATCATCCACCACAGGAACCTGGAGGACATTCCGTTCCCGAGAACTCATCGTCAACAAGACAAGAGGATCTTTAGCGTCAGCACCTGGCCTTTTCGGCCTTATCGGACGTTTTGATTCTAAAGATGAGAGCTGACGCACCTCCGCATACGACGGAATAGTGTTACCGTCGCAGCATTGGTGTAGAGGCGCCCCAGCCCCTAAGAGCCGAGATAACTTCGCTCTCCGCTTGTCCACTCCGAATGGTCGGGTTCGCATTGTGCATCGGGTCGTATGCCGCACGCAAATGGCTAACAGGCCGAAATACATCAGCCCGTTCTCCCGCGTACTCCCTAGATAGAGAAGGCCACTCTATCTCCCTGAGCATAGAGGCTCCCCTAGCGTAGAAACTTCCAGGAACGCCCCGGCAGCGGTTTAGTTTAAATTGGAATTGCTAACCACACCCTAGATGAGCACCGCCTACGGTAAAGTCTCTTATCGAGCTCAGCCTACACCTGCCATGGGCATTCGAGGGACGCCATAGGCTCAGCCTAGTGGTCCGATTCTTCGCTTCCCCAAGGGTACCACGCCGGTCATACGCACAACAATGCACAGCATACTCGAGTCAGAAACACCGCTTCACTACCCGCTTCCATCCGCTTACTTACGCATTCGAGGGACTATAGCATGATCATCACGTCCTCAACGCTTACACGCTGTCGTCCGGTCGCAACGTCTCCCGTGAGGCCGGGGGTTTTTACGCTGGCCATAGGCAAGCTTCACGAAGGTCACAGATAGAAGACAGCCTCTGTCTAAGTTCCCGCCAGGTGCGTCACCACGCGCCACCACGAAACCATTCCCATTGTAACATTGGGCTGATTTTGAAACATTTAAGTTACTCTGTGGTACAGACGGCCATACACCCTCCCCCGAACCTGGAGGACCTCACCCGTCCAGGCAGTGGTAGTGGTTAAGGCGTCAGACTGTCGGTTAGTAAATACCGCCGGCGTGGGTTCGATCCCCACCGTCGTTTGGACTTTTTTCTGACGCCTAAGGGAACCGGTGGCCGCAATTGAGAGAAACTGACACTCATTAATGGACGGTCTGGAACGGGATCGGATCTCAGCGACCCTGATTTTGGTCCCAACCCCCAAAATGAGTCACTTCGATGGAAGAACACTGGCACACCGGGAGCTCAATTCTCACGTATGTTGCGAGCTCCCACAAAATGGAGAAAATGGAGCCAGGAATAAAAAACAATAAACTGTACAGCTGCAGTGCTCAGTTGGACCTCCTCCTACAGTTCCTTTTATCCATTGCTAAAAAACGTTCATCATCGAGGATGACTCTTAGGGATGCGCTTGGGGCGGAGCCCAAAATTGGGAATAAATTATCTTGAACTGTACCACGTACGACGAGGAAAGATCCGATTTGTTACGTGCAATAGTATTATAAGGAAGACAATGGCCACCAACATTTTTAGAATTAATTAATACACTTAATTTTTTCTTTCATTTATTAAACAGTAATAATAATAATAAAGTGGGAAGTTTATGGGCCGACAAACAGCTGAGGTCATCGCCGGCCCTCTGCATGTTTTTCTTCTTTTTTTCTTCTTTCGCGCGTATTTTGTTTTAAACTGCAACCATTTGAGCGTCTCGATCTGGTTACTCTGATTTCAAATATATACTACGTTGATATAGAAACAAAACATACAATACATGTATACATACATCACAACAAACATAGATGTCTCGTCACATTCACTCCCCCAGAGTACTCGGTATTCCTCGAGACGTGGTTGTAAGCAACCCCTTCCTTTCACGCTAATAAATTACTTTTACTCTCCAGACGTCATCCACTAACCCCAGACTACTCGATATTCCTATAAAAAGAGTCAACTCTAGCGTAGGCATCTGCATTACATTAATGCCACGATTTTGACCTAGACGACGTCTTTCAACAACTGTGGTTGTCGAGT